GGTGCTGCCCCCAGCTGGGCTGTTTGAGGGGTTCCCTGACACACAGGGAGCCACCGCCTGGCCAGTGCAGCACCTCACAGGGGTGCTGGTCGCAGGTGAGAAGAAGGGTTTGGTGCTGCCTGGGCACCCATCTCTCTCCTGCTTCTTGCCCACCTGGCTACTCTCACCCCCCGGATTCTGGCCCCCATCCCTCCCTCTGCCTTGGTCCAGCTCTGCCTGCCAAGGATGCTCCTGCTGCGAGCCAGCAGCAGGACAGGCTCTTGCCTCTCATTTTTGCTGCTGTGTATTAAAAATGATGGCTACAGCTGTAGGCCAGACCCTAAATGTGATCCTTTCTCACTGGAGATTCAAAGCCAGCCTGTGGGGCTGGAGGGTACTGGTATTTCTGCAGAGGTCAGAGGTGCAGTATCCATCATCGTGGTGTGATTGAGGTGTTGATCCGGGCAAAGCCAGGAGGGCTTCTGTGCTTAAGGTTGTCTTGTCGCAGACAGTCGGCCGGGCTGGGACCGAAGCGGTTGCACGACTGACTTTGCCAAGCACCCTGTGGAGCCCAGAGGTTCCACTCCGGCTTTGGCAGCTCGTGCCCGCTCCAGTGCGGCCTTGGAGGAGAGCTGGGGAACGGCCGAGGGGTGAGCCCTGTGCCCTGGCAGGGATGCTCTTCTGTCTAGCTGGGATTTTGGACTAAAATCCATGAGCACTTTGCCGGGAAACTGTATATCGTGCAATTTTCACTCCCCCCTGTGGCTACTGCTCATAAAAGATAATGGCTTCCCATCGCTGCTCCACTGCTGAGCAGCCCCAGCCCCTTCCTGCCCTCTTTATTTCAGCTGCAAAGTCAGACCTTCAGTCTTCTGATGACTCCTTGGATGCGAACCTGAAGTTCAGCCCCTTCTTTTCCCCTCCCCAGACTTCCAGCCCATTCGGTGGTTGTGGGAATCAACTTTAATGATGCGGTAACACATGTGCTTTGCACACTGCAGCCCTGGAAACATTTGCTGCCAGCCAAGTTCGCTGGATTTGCAAAATAGGTGAAAGCAGAATGTTTTTTCAAGCCCCGGTTTCTAGAGAGAGGCCGGCCCCAGCCGGCTGGGGTT